CCAAATTCATTTTTTCAAAGGATACTTTTACTCTCGTCTCCTTCTCTCGTCTCCTTCTTCCTCCACAGAACCCTAATTTCTCTCTTCGATAATCGCCTCTCTAGATACTCGATCTTCTCTCAGTTTCTCTCTCAGAAACTCGCTCGATCCCCATCCATGGCTTCCAATCTCCCGCTACAAAGCAGCAACAACGTCAATGTGGCCAAGGCCAAGGCTCCGGCGAAAGCTCCGTCGTCGCGAGCCGGGAAGACTATCGAAGAGATGTATCAGAAGAAATCGCAGCTTGAGCACATCTTACTCCGTCCTGACACTTACATCGGATCGATTGAGAAACACACCCAAACGCTCTGGGTTTACGAGAACGAAGAAATGGTTCACCGTCCGGTAACCTATGTTCCTGGTCTCTACAAGATATTCGACGAGATCCTCGTCAACGCTGCTGATNACAAGCAGAGGGATCCGTCCATGGATTCTCTCAAAGTTGTGATCGATGTTGAGCAGAATCTGATCAGCGTTTGTAACAGTGGAGATGGAGTCCCCGTCGAGATTCACCAGGAGGAAGGCGTTTATGTGCCTGAGATGATCTTTGGGCATTTATTGACAAGTAGTAACTACGATGACAATGTGAAGAAGACTACTGGTGGAAGAAACGGGTATGGTGCTAAGCTTACCAACATCTTCTCCACTCAGTTCACCATCGAGACTGCAGATGGCAAGCGACAGAAGAAATACAAGCAGGTACATCAATTGCTTCTGCTGCATAAATTCCTTTGGCTTATGATTTAGTATCAATCAATTGCTAGATTAAGGATGATTTGACACACATATATATCTTGTAGGATCAATGAATTGACACTGTTTTCGTTTGGTTTGTGCCTCCTCTCTTTCTGGTGTTGCTTAGGTGTTTGAAAACAATATGGGGAAGAAGTCTGAACCTGTGATTACCAAATGCAACAAGAGTGAGAACTGGACGAAGGTTACTTTCAAGCCTGATTTGAGCAAGTTTAGCATGACTCTGTTAGAAGACGATGTGGTTGCTCTCATGAGTAAACGTGTATTTGACATTGCTGGATGCTTGGGGAAGACTGTGAAGGTTGAGCTGAATGGCAAAAGAGTTCCAATCAAATCATTCAGTGATTACGTTGATCTGTACCTAAGTGCGTCCAATAAATCAAGGACGGATCCTCTCCCAAGGTTTGTTGTTCTTGCTTCACCAATGAATCATGATGATTCTGCCTTGGAATTGGTTCTGATTCTGTTGAGTTTTGTGTGATTAGGATGTCTGAGAAAGTGAATGACAGATGGGAGATTTGTGTGAGCTTAAGCGAGGGACAGTTTCAGCAGGTATATATAATTGGTTGGCTCTTATTTTCTTCTTCTCATGAAGAGTTTAATGAGTAAATTCTTAACAATGTTTTCTTCTGCAACCAGGTCAGCTTTGTCAACTCCATAGCCACAATCAAAGGTGGAACACATGTCGATTATGTCACCAGTCAGATCACAAACTACATTGTGGGTATTGTGAACAAAAAGAACAAAACTGCCAATGTGAAGACTCATAATGTGAAGAACCATCTGTGGGTATTTGTCAATGCTCTGATTGACAATCCTGCTTTCGATTCTCAAACAAAAGAAACACTGACTCTTAGACAGAGCAGCTTCGGCTCAAAATGCGAACTCTCAGAAGACATTCTAAAGAAAGGTATGTCTGTGTGTTCGATAATCTCTCTTGTTGGGTCAGTGATGCAATGCAACTGGTTTCTAGAAGAACGCTTAAATTCGTTTGTGTATTTCATCTTTGTTCCAGTGGCGAAATCTGGAGTAGTAGAGAATTTGCTTTCATGGGCGACCTTTAAGCAGAGCAAAGAATTAAAGAAAAGTGATGGAGCCAAAACTCAGAGGGTTCAAGTTGAAAAGTTGGAAGATGCAAACGAGGCTGGAGGGAAGGACTCCCAAAGGTGTACGTTGATTTTGACCGAAGGAGATTCGGCTAAAGCCCTTGCTGTAAGTCGTTTGATCTATCCTCAATGTGATTTTAATTCAGCCACCTCTCAAGTTTTACCTTAACACTCCTAATAATCATTGTATACAGATGGCGGGACTGTCTGTTGTGGGTCGTGACTACTATGGTGTGTTTCCCCTTCGAGGAAAGTTATTGAATGTAAGGGAAGCCAGCACCACTCAGATTACTAACAATAAGGAAATTGAGAACATTAAGAAGATTCTTGGACTGAAGCAACATATGAAGTACGAGAATGTTAACACATTGAGATATGGCCATATGATGATCATGACTGATCAAGTAAGTTTACAGTCTTCTTCCTATCATTATCCTCAGTGCATTATATAAAATATTTGTGGCTGTGCAAG